GTGATACCACGGGTAGCAATAGTGATAACAATGGCAACAGAGGAGGACAACATGGATTTTCCTTTCTAGATTTAAATTGGCTTCAGTGGGTGAGCATCTAGAATTATTTTCTTAATATCCTTAATATGCTCAGAGGCTAAGAAAGTCATTTCCTTTAATATATTTTATTCTTAAGACCTTTGGTATTTTAGAGTTGTATTCTGTTTTTCAATGTGCCTTCTACTGCTAAAAGCTCCTGCATTTTTAAAATGGAAGCTCCTGGAATTTTGAAACATGGTTATAATCTTTGCTTGCAACTTAATATATTTTAAGTACAGTATTTGTGCCAACAGTTTTCCATGGGTGTGAGACTTTTGGATGTTCTCAACAACTGTAAAAGTATTTTTGTGCTTGTGGAACTTAGGAGCAATGTAGATAATAACACTTGAAGAATTAGACAAACTGATGTATTTTGGAATCATTGCAAAAAATGAAAAGACTTATACAGCACCCAGATGAATTTGGATATGGTTGGAAATGACTGTTGGATTTCATTCTGGAATTAATCCTTAAATGGGATAAATGCTAGCTGTGACAAACAAAGGCTTCTAATTTTTTTTCTAAGGATCCCTTAAGTTCTGTAGGGCTCTTAGGAAGATGTTCAGATGTCAGGTTCACTGACTTGATGTTTCAAGAATTTCCCAGGCAAAATTGTAGGAGTTCCTGTCCACAAACACCTACCTACAGGCACCTATGTACAGTACTGTATACTTAAATGGTACTCACCTGGAACATCATCTATCTTCCAGGCTGCTTTAGGTCTACTTCCTGTAAAAAAAGGGAACTGCCCAGTTTTTCCTGGGAGCCTTGACTAATCTTTCTCTGCATGTGTAAAGTGGGGACTTGGAGGAAAACTCCACATCCAGAATGCCTTGCTGATAGTGAAGAAAGATCACTATTTTTCCTAGTGTCAAGTAAGTAAAAATAACTGAGGTGGGAAAAAGCAAAGGCATCCAATCTGGTTTTTTTAAGATATCCTCACACATGACCATCTTCTTAAGATAACACAAACATCACCTGGGAATGTCAGCAAAGGGGGGAGGGTTGTCTTTAAAAACAAAAGGAAAATACAGGTGGAGATAATTTTAAGAGAGAGAGAGAGATTTGGCAACAAAAGAAAAATATATTTACTCTAAATACCGGCCATATTTTCTTCTCTGCTTCCTAATTAAAACTTTATTATTGCCATTACAAGTCTTGCTTCTGCTTATGGTGAACAATCCAAGTGATATGGAAAGAAGCCAGCACTGGGGAGTGGAGACAACCACTCAAGTAGAGGTATTGTTTCTGCATGTCAGCCCTAGGTGCAGCTTTTCTGGACGATAACTGGCTCATAAAGATGTGGCAAATACTTGCAAGATTCCTTGTTCTTTGCAGTTTTCCAAGTTTCATCATGCCAACGCCCCCTACTGAGACGTTATCAGTGAGATTCCCAGAGTTCTCACAAAAACAAGACCACTGTCTTGTTCTCCTATCCCTGTTTTTTCACTCATTGTTCAGGTCAGCAAAAAAAAAAAATCAAATTCTATGCAGTTTAATGCTCTCTCTGGTTAATCCTGTGCAAAAAAAAAATGCCTTTCAGTGCAGGAATTTTAATAATTTCGTACATCTTTGCATTTCTTCTATAAAACGTGACAAAAACTCCTTTTCGCATTTTTCGGGCAGGCATCTTCTGTATCTCCAATTTAAACTTTATTATTGTCACCAGAAGTTTGGGAGTGAGAGAAATGTACAGCTTGTCTAGTTCAACAGAGGAGGCCAGCCTGCTCGATCAATACTTGCTGTTAAGTAAGGTGTTGGCACTGCACACAATTCCTGGAGCTGGGCACCGAGCCCTATCTGAAATTAAGTCTTGGGTACAAAGCGTCACATCTTGTGTTGCACTTAAATCTAGAAGATTAACTCGTATAAAATGTTAGAATACTCAGCTTGTGTTGGGGCTGAGAATGGTATTCCTATTTCTGATAATAGAATTATTCATTTTGTATTGTTACACTGCCTCTGAAAGCGCAGGTGCACAACTTGGGTGTGCTCCTGGATTTGTCTCTAAGCCTGGATGCCCAGGTTTCATTGGTGGCTATTTGCGCAATGAGAACAAGTGCACTAGCTGCGCCTGTTCCTAGAGAGGTCTGATCTCTAAGGCACCATGACACCTGCCTTAGTTACATCCTTGTACACTCTGGAAAGTTTTCAAAACTTAAGTGGGTTCAAAACACAGCAGCCAGATTGCTAATCGGAGCTGGTTACAAGGATCACATAACCCACCTGTTACAGCAGCTCTACCAGCTGCTGATGCATTTCTGTTTTAATCTGCAAAGATGGTCTGGGTCCAAGCTATCCCAAGCACTGTCTCTTCCTTTATGAACCTGCCCGGGTGTTACGATCATGAGAAGAAGCTTTTATCTTGGTACCACCACCTTCACAGGTATGTTCTAGTGGGACATGGGAGAGGGCCTTCTGCCACTGCTCTCAAGACTTTGGAACTCCTTCCCATAAGCCGAGCTGGCCCCATCTTTTCTGTTCTTCTGCAAGCTGGTGAAGATCCCTCTCTTCAGGCAGGATTTCCCTTAGTAACTGGCTGCCTGAGTGGGCTTTTTTTAATAGATTGTTGCACGTTACAGCTTTGAATGTTTTTTTGCTTTTGTTTGCTTTTGTTTTTTTAAGTGTGCTATTTGTTTGATCTTCTTAAATATTTGTTACTTACTGTTTTTAGTTTTAAATATTGTCTTTTGGCAATGTGAACTGCCTTGGGTCCTCTTTGAGAAAAAATATATTTAAAAATAAAATAATAAATAAATAACCTTCAGTCATTTTGCTGAGGCATCTTTACATTAATGATGATCTGATTTTTTTTTTTCAGTCAGAGTCATAACAAGATGCAGAGTGCAGGGGGGCACAGCAATACAGACAGACAGACAGAAAGAAAGAAAGACAGACATCTCTCTGTATCTTCTATCTGCAGCACGTCATGCCATTAGGAAAAAGGATTTCACAACCTTATTCTAATCATAATCTGCCCAGATAATGTAAGCACATTTAGAGGAGACAGGTAATCCCAAACAACAGTGAACAGTGGAAAGCACTGATGACATGTGTGCAACTTTATATTCTTGCCTCAGGCACAAAATTAGTTAGTTATGGCTTTGTTTTCAAAATACTGCATATAAAAATACACACTCTCATGTTAGCATACAGTGACCTCATCAAGTAGGCTGGACCCCAAGTCTTTCTGTTATTTTTGTCAGCACCCACAATGTGTCTTATTGGGGCTACAAAGCCACATGAAATAGCAATTAGTGCTGTATCCTTCCAACAGCAATTATGCTAGTCTTACAAAGATCCTTGATGATCTCTCATTTTTGAAACAAAAGCAACAGTTTTGGAGGAAAAAAATAAGAGAATAACAAGTGATTTATATGTGCTGAGAAGCAAAAATGGTTCAGCATCTCCCAGAATGTTGTTATACACCAACCCTGTTTTAAAACCGATGCTGTTATCTTTCAGACATATCTTAGCGTACCTTTTTATAAAAACAGGGGATTTGGGCTACAGCCATGAGAAATGTGTCCCTATGAATATTCTAAATGTAAAATTTTCACATTATTACTTCGATTCTACTCACAGAACTCATCAAACATTGTCCAAATGATTAAGTATTTGATCTGATAATTTATCAAGACTTTGTGAGACAAAGAATATATTAGAAAATAAAAATCATAATGATCAAAGATTAATTTTTATTATGAAACAATGACATTAAAGTCTAAATGATTGTAATTATGTATTTGTGGTAAAAACTGTAATGATATAAACAATATTCAATGGATTTTTCCCTAGTAGGCAGTTTACAGGGAGATAAAAGCTCAGGAAAAAGATGCCTACTCCTAAATTAAGTAGATATGAAATATTTTATGGAAAGTGAGAGAATAAGCCCTCACTTCAATCTTTGCCATCAGATATTATAACTGTTCCATTAAAAAGCTAAAGACTGCATGAAGGCATTATCGGCTTCATAGTACCGGAAACAATTCTCAACTGCAGCCAAACTGACAGCAACTAGTTGCAGTCCAACATCAAGCTAAGAATGAAATTTCTACTATCAAGACCAGTATAACCCTGAGTGCTTGATGTTTGGGACAAAAAGACTGAGAATTTTACTTAGAACCACTTGGAAACTACAGCATGAAATCCAGTTGTCCCCTTTGTAAATTCAACATAAGCCAAGCCTGGGTACTATTAAAACAATGGTCCCCAACCTTTGGTCCCCAGATGTTCTTGGACTAAAATTCCCAGAAGCCTTCACCACTAGCTGTGTTGGCCAGGATTTCTAGCAGTTGTAGTCCAAGAGAATCTGAGGACCCAAGGTTGGGAACCATTGTATTAAAATGAGAGTTCCTCTGCCTATGTAATGTTACAGCCTGAAGGAGAGGTAAGTAAATAATGCTAGCCCCACCCCATTATATAGTGGAGCGGCAGGTGGACAAATATTGCCTTGCCCTTCTCTGCCAGAAAGGATGCTTATCTCTCTTTGACAATTTCCCCAGGACTAAAGAGCAGGACAGTCTGCCCCGCTTCTTAAGCTAAAGGTGTGGAAAGATTCAAGAACAGCCCAGTGAAGACTCAACCTGCTCAGACACGCATCATAAAAGAGGTATGAAATGGCATATTCTGAAAAAGGGCATAATAGGTTGGCAAACTCAAAGCTATTCCAAGTAAGACCACCCTGCACATGTTGGTCCACAGACACGTCATCACTAGCTAGTATGGCTAGTGATACATTTATATGCTAGCCATGGCTGGTCAGGCATGAAACAGAAGCACATGGACAAAGGAGCTGATTATCAATTACAATAAAGCAGCAACTATAGGTACTATTAAACTACTACTACAATAAGTTGTAACTCCAATACATACTCATTAAAAATCATAGTTTTTAATTTGATACATTTATATGCTAGCCATGGCTGGTTTACAACGCAAATTGTAACATAATGATAGCAACATATATAATGAAGCAATTAAATTCTATTATCAAGTTGTACGTCTTCTAGATATCAACATCTGCACTACCATATAACTGAGTGAATAAAATGGGTTACAGATGGTTGGATATGACTTTATGAAGATGACAAATAGTTTGGAAAATTTTATATGCATATTTTGTACCACCAAAGCTCAGCCATGTTAATAATGAACATTTACAAGGTAGCCAGTTTCCTTCATCTCAGGGCCTTTTTTACAGGCATGTCACAAATATATTTTAGCTACTACTTAGTTATCATGGGCAACAGGGAAGAACACAGGGATGTGAACGTTTCCCAATTTTGTTGCATTTCTTAAGATCTTTACCTGCCTCTTCTGCTCATTTTTTATTTATAACAGGTTGTGAAACTTTGTTTCCTGCCCCAAAATTCAAATTTGAGCACTTTGTGCATCTTAATTTACAAATTTTACCTAATGTACATATTCATACGCACATTTTACCTAATTTATACATTCCACTCATTGAATATGTTGTAGTCCCCCCCAGTGGTATACTTTTTAACCTTTTGTATTTAAAATGTACACATAAACGGAAACCCTGTTGCTTAGCATAGTAAGTCACAATACAGCAAGTCCATTGTACTGTATAGTGGGAAGCTTGGTGAGTCTGTTCTCAAAGTCAATTGTTTCAAATGGGCTTACTCTAACTATGCCTTACTTTAGTACAGTAAGTTGCAGTTAGAGTAGGCCCTTTTGAATCAACTGAACATATGTAGGACTTGATAAAAAAATGTCCACTGATTCAGTGACCCTACCCTACTGAAACTTAAGTGAGCTATAAGAGGATCTCAGGTTACTCGTATGGGAAAGGAAAGAATGAACTTCCATGCAAGAGAAATCACTTATGGAAGGCTGGACAGACGCTTTGCTCCTCCGGATCCTCTCCTAAATGGCAAGGAGAGTCAACTCATCCCGTCCCCACAATCTTCACAGACTCCCTCAAAAATAAAAGCAGCCACTCTCCCCTGAACCGCCCAGCCTCTGGGTACTGGAGCGTTTCCCGCCGCTCCTCCCCGTCTGCCACCGACCCCGGGAAAGGGGTTGGGTAACGAGGACCAGCCCCACTTTAAGAGCCCTTTGCTTTGCCCAAGACCGTGCGCTTTTCGCCCCCGTGTTGTCTCCATCCTCTTCCTGTTTAGCGCCGTTCCCGCTTCTGCCGCCGCCGCCGCCTCGATCTCCCCACTGGACTCGGCAAACTGGGCCCTGCAGGAAAAGGCCTCGGCCTCTCTCGCAGCGCCTCCCTCAGCCTCGGGAGGCAGCCCGAGACGCAGGTAAAGGGTGCGCGGGCATCTTGTCTCTCTTTCCGCGCTCGCCTTTGCCGTGGCGGCGGCCTAGTGGTCGAGGAGGCGCGTCTTCCCTCCTGAGCGGGAGGCTTGGGCGCAGCTGCCCGGGCATGGGACGCGTGAGGGAAAAGGGGTGTCGCCCGCGGAGGCTGCCTCTCTTGCTCGAGTACTAAGTCGCTGAGGCAGCGCCNGAAGGAACAGGCGGGTTTTTAGTTGGCCTCGTTTAGCTTGGCGAAGAGCCTCCCTCCCCACCGGGAAGTTCCCCTTCGCAAGCCTCCTTGGAAACAGCAAGGGTGCTCGTCCGCCCAACTCCCGTCGTTTCAGACGGTGTCGCCCCCAGGGAGGAAGATGATGGTACTGGAGTGCCCACACGGAGCCAAGTGTGTGCGTGTGCGTGGCGAGGAGGTTGTAGCTTTTCCCGTCTACTAGATTGCTGGAAGAAAGAAATAGCATGCATATTCTCAGGCCTCCTTGACATCGTTTCTTATGATTTTTTTTTCCGAGTGACATCCACTTTTACGGAAGGGTGCTTAGGATTATTTTCAGCCTTCCCGCTTTCTGTGTTTGTGTCGTCCACAGTTTGTTAATTATAGATATACGTAGTAAAGGCCATTTCGTTTTTCGCAAGAGTCAAGTGGGTGGGAAGGAACTATATGTTTGAGCATGTGGGCAAAATTAAAGGGGGGAGGGAAATGAGGGGAATAGTCAAAATATTGTGGCATTTTAAGGACTGACCTGTTTATTTCATTGTGAGCTTTCCAAGATGAAAGTTCCCCAGAAAGCTCCTACTGATTTCGTCTTCAAAGTGCCACAATTTTTCGCCTCTTCCTTTCCCCCTTTAGTTTTGCCAACATGCAGAGACAGATTAAAATGGCTACTTTGGAAATATTTTGTATGAGGGGGCGCCTTCAGCTGGAGCTTGCCCTACACATTTTGTTGCCTGAGGCAGAACATCAGATTCTTTCCTACTGCCATCAAAATGTGTAATATCAAAAGACAAAAACCCATAAGCACCCCCTCCCAAAATAAAAATTTCTAGCAGTTTAATGGATTTCTGTGAAATGTAAAATCAGTTGTGTGTGGCAGCTCTCACCACCTTTCTGGTTAAAAGCTGGGTGGTTAGTGCTGGGGAGTTTTTGTAACACAATATTAGAAGCCCTGCTAAGAAGAATTCATAACTTCTCCTACTTACAGTATCCTGGAAAGAATGCAATTATATAGGACTTCACCATTGAATTCAGTGGGGTTTCTTTCTTGGTGGGGTTGTACTTTAAATGTATTGGGGGTTTTTGTTGTTGTTGTTGTTAGCATCATGAGAACTGCTGTCAACAGCCACTCATAACATACCGGGGAGCTTAAATTTCGAATCTGCAAAAGGACCACGAACCCAGCAATGAATGCTCTTTGTTCCATATGTTTCTTGTTGGTGGTGTTATTATGTACAGTACTGAGTTCTTAGTGCCCTCTATCTTGGATTGCTACTTGCCTGTCTCCATCTTTGATCCTTTGGGCTGCTCAGAATTGTTTCATGAAATTGAATCCGTCAAAATCCTAGCAAGAATATGCACAGTAATACAGTGGTGCCTCGGTTTACGATTGCCCCGCATTGCGACGAATCCGCTTTACGACAATCTTTTTGTGATCTCAATTGCGATCGCAAAACAATGGTCTAAATGGGGGAATTTCGCTTTGCGATAATCGGTTCCCTGCTTCGGGAACCGATTCTTCGCAAAACGATGATTTTTAAACAGGTGATCGGCGGTTTCAAAATGGCCGCCGGGTAAATAAAATGGCTCCCCGCTGTGTTTAGGGACGGATTCCTCGCTATACAGGCAGCAAAAATGGCCGCCGTATGGAGGGTATTTGCTGGACGGTGAGTTTTAAGCCCATTGGAATGCATTGAAAGGTTTTCAGTGCGTTTCAGTGGGCTTTTTATTTTCGCTTTACGATATTTTCAGTTAACGGCAATTTTCCTGGAACGGATTATCGCCGTTAAGGGAGGCACCACTGTATAGAAAACACAGTGGCTTGCAGATCAGAAATATTCAATATGCATTACAATCCCTAAGAAAGGAAATCACTGAGTTCAGTAACTATAGGACTGTATTTGCAAATTCATGCTCAAGATTTTGTAACAAAAATATCAACATATTGCATGCAGATAGCACTGCATTGCTACTGTGTTTCCCCAAAAATAAGACGCAGCAGCAACTTGAAATGACTACTTACAAAGGCGAAGAAAGAAAATGCAAAAGCAGAATTGCAGTAGAAGATTAAGACAACAGAAATAATATAGATGACTTTAATGCTGACAGTGATGAAATTAAAATTGTTAATGTTCAGTTCAGTCATGAATCCGGGTTTCTGTAGCCAATAAATTAAAAGGAGACAGACTCAGAAGGGAAGATATGGCATTACATATGTACAGTCGCGCTCCACTGGACGATTACCCCCTTTAACGATGAATCCACTTAACGTTGAAGTTTTTCCGATCACAAAAGCGATTGCAGAACAATGTTTAGATTGAGTTTTTTCACTTCACGTTGATCGGTTCCCTGTTTCGGGAACCGATTTTTCGCTTTACGACGATCAGCAAACAGCTGTTTGTCGGGTTTCAAAATGGCTGCCGGCTGTCAAATCCCCCCCCACTGTTTTTTAGGATCGATTCCTCGCTATACAGGCACCGAAAATGGTCGCCGTATGAAGGATCTTTGCTGGACGAGCAGGTATTCAGCCCACTGGAATGCATTGAACGGTTTTCAGCGCGTTTCAATGGGTTTTTTAATTTCATTTCATGACGTTTTCACTCTATAGCGATTTCGCTGGAACAAATTAACGTTGTCAAGTGAGGCACCACTGTACTAGAAAAAAGGTCTCAAGTATTAGTATGGGCTATGCAAGACCAAGGCCAAGCTCATTTATGCTGGTATTGCCATTTACTGTAGTTTCACGACGTTTTCACTCTACAGTGACTTCGCTGGAACGAATTAGTGTTGTCAAGTGAGGCACCACTGTACTAGAAAAAAGGTCTCAAGTATTAGTATGGGCTATGCAAGACCAAGGCCAAGCTCATTTATGCTGGTATTGCCATTTACTGTGTGTGGATGTGAAATCTGAAAAATGAGGAAAGCTGACAGGAAAATAATGATTTGTTTGAAATAAGGTGTTGGAGAAGATTTTTGCAGGTCTCATAGACTCAGAGACAAGCAAGTAGATTCTAGTTAAGATGAAGCTCTCACTATAGAAGCCAAAATGACTAAACTAGAACTACAGTACTGAACTTTGAGCATATTATGCGAAAACAGGATTTCCAGGAAAAGACAATGGTGGTACGAAAAATTAAAAGTGGTAGGAAAAGAAGACCAACTATGAGAAGAACTGACCCAATAAAGGAAGCCATAACCATATATTTGCAAGAGTTGAGCAGGGTTATTAACAATAGAGTAGTTTTGGGGTCACTAATTCATATCATTGCTATACATCTGCAGCAACTTGTCAGCACACCAACAATAGTAACAACATTTGATTTCATCATGGGTTCATATAGATTTAAATACTGTATAGAGAGAGATTTGGCATGAGTCTATCAATGAGATCTTGGCCATTGGTAATGTAGGAGAGAATGTGCAAATGAATTAAAGTAGCAGCACATTGAAAGCCGCAGCACATTGCAGAAATTTATAGTTTTAAATCTAGAAGTTATCCTTGTATACTGTAGCTGGAATGCAGAAGTGAAACAAGACCCAGGTTCAACCTCAGAAACAATAACGAAAGGGACTGCATGAAATCTTTATCTTACTACTGAGTAATCACAAACACATCCCTTGTGTTGCAATTTAGGCTTCCAGGAAAGTTTAAGGAAAGCACCTCACTTAATAAATTATTCACTGATGATGATGCTTTTATTGTGAATTGTCAGTTTCAGCACAAGGTCTCCCAAAGTCCTAGGAGCTAAAGAACAAGCTGTGCCTACTTTAAATGGGGTGGGGCATCCTGCTTGCTGATTAAACTGGCAGTCAGCTGTGCTTTGGCTAAGCCAATTCAATACTGAAGGAAAAACCTTGGAATGGGGTGGGGCATCGTGCTTGCTGATTAAACTGGCAGTCAGCTGGGCTTTGGCTACCTGTTAAAAACAGCCAATTCAATACTGAAGGAAAAACCTTGACCCAAAACAATGGCTTCATGGTCACACACACACAAGGCACAAAAAGCTTAATTGTTCCAAAGGGATGTGTTTCACCTGTCAGCTAGAAATAATCCATTCAAACAGTTTTAGTGGACTACTTGTATGAATGATTTTCCAAACCTTCCTTTCAGCACATCACATAGAGATCTTACAACTAAAGAGCACTTCAACTATTGAAAATGCTGATGGTGCTATTTTGGCATTAGGATTATGTTTGGAAACAATATATTTTCAGAATCTTAACCTAAATCCCTTTGAACTACAATTAGATTAGAAAAATAAGTCAAGTCTCTTCCAAGTTGCCATTTCCAACATCTTTTCTTTCTAAAATAAAAATCTTCCACTTGCAGTAACAAGGTGGTATCTTGGGTGGAAAAAATATTCCTCAGGCCTACAGTGGACATGAAAACTTTCCTTCTAGGAATTGATGTGGTTATGCAGAACTACACAAAGTTGTTTGACTCAGTGCAGGTCAGGAACAGATACAACACACTGAGTGGTCTGTTTAAATTTATTAAAAGTTTAACAAAAATGCAAAGTGAGTAAAATAACAGAATAGAAATAGGGTTAGAACAACAAAAAGAGGAAAAAAGTTATTTTGTAGATCTTTATACACCTCACCAGCACAAGAACTTGACACTCCTCTGTCTGTCATATCAGGAAGATTCACCTCCATCCAAGAGAGAGAGCTTAACCACAAACTGCAAACGTGAAAATTAGATATTCGGCTCTACCTCTGTGTGAGAGATGGTGGGGAGGCCCTTTCTAACGGTCTTAGGAAATCACCTTGTCTTCTATAGGA